GGCGTACTCAAACTTATCTCCTTCAGGTGACTGGCATATAACACCTGCACCGCAACCAGTGGCTGTCGCGCTTCCATCCACGAACACTTTCCAGATTTGATCTCTGGCCGTCTGAAGATCCGGCCGAGTCATTTCAGCTAAAAAATCAGCAAAGTCTTGCCCCTTGATTGCCTTTCTTGGCTCAAATGTAATATCCAAGCCTCTCATTTTCAAGGCCCATTTCAGCATACGGCCGCTTGCCTCTAGCGTTGTAAATGGCTTCTTCAAAGGTTGGTCTGTGTAGACCACAATTGAATGTGCCAAGAAGTATGGCCGCAGCCTTTTTGATGCCATGTACAATGCTAAGCCAAATTTTTCAATGGGGGATACCTTAGCTCAGCGTTATGCAGAACGTGGCTAATAAAGTAGACAGGGATCTGGCGGCCGTCCCGTTCAGCAAGTAGGACGACACTTAAGGAGTGTTCTGAGATAGCAAGATAGATGAATAGCTTCTCGCTCTTAAGTGGATTGACAAGCCGAGGCAATGTATGTAAATGGCCTTTTAGCTGTACGAATGCTTCCTCGGCCTCCTCTGTCCACTCAAACATGGCCTTCTTTTTTATGGTTTGAAAGAAATAGCGGCACTTATCCCCTGATCTTGACAGAAATCTACCAAGTGCGGCTAAACAGCCGGTCAATCTTTGGACTTCTTTAATTGTCCTTGGTGACTTCATGTCCATGACAGATTGGATTTTTTCAGGGTTGGCCTCGATTCCACGTTGATCAATAAAAAATCCGAGAAATTTACCGAACTCAACACCAAAGACACATTTCTTTGGATTTAACATCATCTTATGCCGCCTGAGTTCGGTGAAATTTTCTTGTAGATCTTTCAAATGGTCAGCCGGCTCTTTTGACTTGACAATCATGTCATCAATGTACGCCTCCATATTCCGGCCGAGCTGATCTCTGAAGACTGTGTTAACAAGTTGCTGAAAGGTAGCTGGGGCATTCTTAAGGCCGAATGGAATAACTTTGTAACAATACAACCCCTGCTCAGTCACGAACGCTGTTTTCTTCTGGTCTTCTTCCCATAACGGAATTTGATGGAATCCGGAGCATGTGTCCATAAAGCTCATTAGGGCATGCCCGGCCGTGGAATCAACCAGACGGTCGATTTTAGGCAGGGGAAAGCTATCCTTAGGGCATGCCTTGTTTAGATCGGTATAATCTACGCACATTCTCCAAGTTCCATTCGGCTTCTTGACAAGGACCACATTGGCCATCCATTCTGGGTAATAGCATTGCCGAATGAAACCGGCGTCCAGAAGCTTCTTGACTTCTTCTGCAGCCGCTTGATTCCTCTCTTCCCCATGATTCCTTTTCTTCTGACGGACAGGTTTTACGGCCGGATTCATAGCCAATTTATGCACGGCCAGATCTGGACTTATACCTGGCATCTCACCGACATCAAATGCAAATACATCCTTGAACTCTCTCAATAATTGAATTAACTCATCCCCAAGCACACCCAAAGCTATAGTGCCCACACTAACCGTCCGACTTGGTTGATCGGGGTCAAGCACTATATCCTGGTGACTGCCGGCCGGCTGGGGGCGTAGCTCTTCTGGCCGTCCGACAGTCATTAGCTGCTATGCTTGCTCTATCTTGGTTGCCTTACGCTTCTGGCCGACCTGGTGTGTTGGGAGTGAGGTTCCTTCTTCTTTTGGCTCGGACAGTTTTGGTCCGCGCGCTGTAGGCTTAACCGCCAACTGATTGCATTCCTTAGCCATCTTTTGACTTCCCTGGATTGTACCTATTTTCCCGTCTGTCCTTTCAAACTTTAGCAGCATTAGGTGAGGCACAATGACTGCTTTTGCTGCATTCAGTGTAGGACGGCCGAGTATGACATTATATCCAGTCAGTTCTTTTATGACCAAGAAGCGGACAACCATATCTCTTCCTTCCCCTTTTTGCCCGAATCAGACAGGTAAGTCTATCCGCCCCACTGGGTGGATGACATTTCCCCCAAATCCGACCAACGGGTGAGTGATGTCCTGGAGAGCATCCTCTGGGAAGCTTAGATTCTTCAAGGCGGCCAGGCTGATGATATCATCCGCGCTACCCGTGTCTATCAATATTCGTCCGACCTTCAGATTGGCTATCTTCATAATGAATACCATGGGATCATTGTGCAAGGCTTTGACCTCCCCCCGATCGACCTCACTGATGATTACTTCGGGGAAGGGTTCAGCCTTCACTGAATCCATCTGCATTTATCTTTGTTCTTATCATTCTTCTGTCTTTGCTCGGATGTGTTGTTTGTCCGTGTGTAAGTGAATTTGGACTTCATCACATATGAATTCAGCATGCCCTTCTCGGCTAGTTTGTCCAGGAGTCTTTTTAAGTTAATGCAATCGTTCGTGTCATGTCCCACATCATTGTGGTAATGACAGTACTTGTTCTTGTTCCTATACTGAGTCGGGCCTCTCAGCGGCTGTGGCTTCTCAAACTCAAACTTATCCCTGATTTCCATCAAGATAGAATAACAATCCTTGTTGAATTCAAACTAAGGCTCGTACGCCTTGACCTTCTTGGATTTCTGTGGCTGGCCATCAGCCACCCAGACTTCCTTTCTCTTTTTTCCTTCTTTCTTTTGGCCGGCCGAGTCTTGCTGAGAAGATTTCTTCTCAGCCCCCTTGGCCGGCGCTTCTGTTTTTGTGAGCGAACAAAAGTCCGCCGCCTCAATATAAGCTTCGGCTTCCCGCATAACACCTGCGTATGTCCGAATCTTTTCCTTACCAAGTCAAATTTAAATTCATTGTGCCTTAATCCCCGGAAAAATTCAGAGTAAGCCATTTCGTCCGGTAGATTATGAATTTGGGCCTTTTCTTGGTTAAATCGCTGGACGTACGAGCGTAAGCCCTCATTTTTTTCTTGGACGATTGTCGCCAAGTTAAGGCTAGTCTTTCGAGGCGGTATGTTGTATGAAAAATTTCCCACGAACAGCAAACTAAGAGTAGTGAAACAATTGATACAACCGGCCGGCAAACTGTTGAACCAATCCTGTGCCACACCTTTCAGAGTAGCCGGGAAACATTTGCACCAAGTAGCATCATCTACGCTTTGCAAGTACATCAGGTTCCTGTACGAGGTGATGTGCTCTTCTGGGTTGCCCGTACCATCGTAAGCTCCCACAAGTACAGTCTTCACCTTTGGTGGCTGAGGGGCATTTAAAATGTCTTGTGAAAACGGGGGCGGCTTATCTCCCAGAGTAAGTAGGCGCATCTGCCAATCGATGGGTTGCGGTTGCACGGACGGTCCAGCCAGATAGGGAGCTTGTCCGTACACCTGCCCATATGGCCCATACTGTCCGTATGCCTGGGGGTTTGGCTGCATCAAGCCATTGAACGCCTGAGGTTGATATTGCAGTGATTGGGCTGGAATAGGAGTTAGAGCATGGAAGACTGGAATAGGAGTTGGGGTGCGAACTGCCTGACTTCCACTGGAGATGGCCGTGTTGGTATGCTGGGAAAGAGAATGATGTGAAAAATCATCCGGCATTGTCGGGGTTGAGGCCGTGTCAGAGTAGGCGGCGCGCTCCCTCTGCTTATGCCGAAGGTAATCCCTTGCGTCCTTCCATCGTCTGGACGACTCAGGCTCCTCTCTTCGAGGCTGCCTACCCCTCCCCCAGCCGACTGCGTTTTCGCCAGCAAGTCAGAGAAATTAGTCCGCGGTACTCTCGGGGACCTTCCAGTCGGCCTTCGAAATGGAGTGTTTCCAGCGTCCGTTGCATGGACTGTTTTGCTGTGTGTCTTTCTTGGAGCCCTCTGTTCCTCTCTCCTGGGCGGCTGCCTAGAGGTAGAGGCTCCGTCTTCAATTTCCTTTCTGAGTTTGTTAAGCGCGGCCTTAAGAGAGGCTGCTGTAACAAGAGGGTCATCAGCTTCTTCAAATGTAGCTATCAGAGGATCGCTAGTACGGATCGTAGGGATTATATCCTCTACATGTCCATCCTCGCCTGGATTAGGAGTCTGACCGTCTATCGCCATAACGTACGAGTATCCCCACAAACGACGCCAAATGTTTCAGGTCTTTTTTGGATTTCCTGGGATACTGGTCACGCTCTGCTGGCAATGAGTTAGTCCCACCTGCAAAACAACGAATATTCCGATCAACGGAATATTCGCCTCCGACGATCAAGTCAGTGATCAGAACGGAAAAGGCTAGAGAGAGAAAGTAGAGAGAAGTTGGAGCTATTTAATGCTCTGTTGTTTTCAATTGTTTGAATCCCCTCCCATCATAAATGATTGGGGTATTTATAGGGGTGGGACTCGTGCCCCTCTCTAGGGTTTATACCCTAGATTTGCGTGACGTGATTGGCTGCGCAATCAACGAATGCCACGTGCCACTCCGGGGGCGCCGTTTTACGGCTTTCATTGTCATTTCTCGGGATTTGGGCCCTGACGTTGTTAGGGCTTTTTGGCGTGTTGATTTTAAAGAAGAATCATATTGCCTAAACACATGGCATCTTCCCGTGGTGACACGTGTCACCCTATAACTGGGCCACGTGTCACTATGGGATTGGCCTGAGACCTTAAGAACTCTGGATTGCGTGGCATCTTCCCGTGGTGACACGTGTCACTATGGGATTGGTCCACATACACGAGGTATTTTTACCCTCAACAGGATGAACATTTAAGATGGAAAGGACTATATTATATACTTTCTTCTTTTTATACTTAACTAGTGTGTAGCCCAGACGTTGCACCGGGTTGCTACTTTAATTATTACTAGTGAATATCAAATATGTACATTTATTTTCATATTCATAACATAGATGATAATTGACTTACTTCGTAAATGGTTAAATAACCATTCTTCTTATAAGAAGTTGGGTTTTCGAATCCCCTAGTAATCTAGTATGCATAGTGGCATAGTAACATGAAATAATAGCCACACATGCAACACTTGATATATCAGAACGAAAGTGTTATAAGGGCCACAATTTTGAGACCCAAAAATACAATAAAAACATGTGCAACAACTAACTAGTAATAAGAGAATTTATTATTATTTTTTTATAATCACAAGTAAGAGAATTAGCTCAAACAAAATGGAAGAAATTTTATGCAATAAGTTTGTGACAATCAAGCACGCCATAGAAGGCGCACCAAAAGAGGATGATTTTGAGGTTTTAATTACAAATATTAGCACATCATCCATTAAGCCAGGCTCTAACAATGTCCTCGTCAAATGTCTTCAACTTTCAATGGATCCTTACCAACTCAATCGCATGAAGAGTTTCAGTCCTTCTCAGAATTCAGTAGCTGCGGCTTTCAAATTGGTGCCTGGCAAGGTAATGTTGTTTCGGCTACTTGATTTGCTTGAAAGCGTTTAACAAATACAGATTTACTTTTACGACCTGTTTGATAAATGATGGTAATGATAATAAATTTGTACATCGATTTATATGAGAAATGATAGTAGAATAAATTATGGCAGGTAATACTACGGTCTCATGGACTGTTATGTTGGCTTTAGCTTACCTTTTTTTGAGCTAATTTTATTGGCTTGACTAATAAATCTAGTTACAATAATTCAAGTTTAATCTACTCTGGTAGATCAAAACATTTAAGATAATACGTAGTATTTTTTTAGGCCTAAAAACCCTTGGAAATTTGCAAAATTTTGCATTTAATCTATAAGAATAAGAAAAGATTTAAATTATTAATTATTTGCAACAATTCATTTGACTTCTTATTATATTATATAGTTAGTGAACTGCGGGCTATATTATGTTTTATACATGCAGAGTATTAATTTTTGAAAGTGAAGAACGGAATAGATGTTTAATTTTTTTTTTTTTTTTTTTTTTAATGGCAGCCAATTAACGGAAATGGAATTGGAAAAGTTGTGGCTTCAGGGCATCCAAAATTCCAAAAGGGTGACTTAGTTATTGGATTAGTGATTTGGGCACAATATGCTGTGGTGGAGAAAGTCAATTTGTTGAGAAAATTAGATCCTATGGAATTACCCTTGTCATACCACCTTGGAATTCTTGGTATATATATCTACTACTTTGTAACAATTCTTTTGTAGATGTTTTTTTTTGGTTGGTATTTAGAGTCGGGGATGAAAATTGATTTCAGGTTTTCTGAAAATGGGAGGAGGGAAACTCTTACCACCCGAGCTATCCTCCACTTTCTTTGGTGGATGGGTTAGACAAAAGTAATTTGCATATGTTATTATGTGTTTGTAGGAACCAGTGGACTCACAGCATATGCCGGTTTTTTCAAAGTGGGCAAACCAAAGAAGGGAGAGAAGATATTTGTATCAACTGCTTCAGGGTCTGTTGGAAATTTAGTTGGACAATATGCTAAGTTATTTGGCTGCTATGTTGTTGGTTGCGCAGGTTCCACTAAAAAGGTTAGCTAGTTTTTTATTTTCTTTTTCAAGAATTGATGCTTATTATCCTCGTTTCAATCTTTACTAATTGTATCTATTAATACCGTACCATTGTTACAATATGTAGGTTGCTATGTTAAAGGAAACGCTTGGCTTTGATGATGCATTCAATTATAAAGAAGAGAGTGATTTGAATTTGGCTCTTCAAAGGTTATATATATATAACAAAACCTTTTTTTCACCTAGCGAAACATATATTTATATGAGCACATGTCAGCATGCTTAACAATAATTTAAGAACATCTTGTAGTCTGGTCACATATTATTATACGGTGTTATTTAAATGATTATGTCGATACTTTTAATTTTTTTGAGGATTGACGTAAAAAGGTGGAAGTAACACACAATTTATCGGGTTTTTAAACCAAATAATGCAGACACTTCCCGGAAGGAATTGACATCTATTTTGACAATGTGGGTGGTGAGATGTTAGAAGCTACGATTGCAAACATGAACCCCTTTGGTAGAGTGGTTGCATGTGGTGTTATGTCTCAATACACCGATCCTACTAAGAGAAGAGCCGGTCCTAACATGATCGACGTCGTTTATAAGCGAATCACCATCCAAGGATATCTATGTACCGATTACGACTTTCAAGAGGATGGACATTGTTTTGCCGAGTTTGTATCAGCAACATCAAGCTACCTCAAAGCAGGTCAAATGCAAGTGCTTGAAGATATTCATGTTGGCTTAGAGAGCATCCCTTCTGCTTTAGTAGGTCTCTTTTGTGGTCGTAATATTGGCAAGACTGTTGTTAAAATTGCGGATGATTAATTAACTTATTCGAGTTTCACGTATTCCTTACATTCCCAATCAACAAAACAATTGTTAATAAATAAACGAACTTGATTCTAAGTGTTTACCTTTATCTGGTTTAAGTTGGTAATGAGAATAAAATAAAGTTTTGTACTCTATACTAGTGTACATTCCCAATGTGTATTTTCTTTTGATATATCTAATTTTCACATACCAAAAAAATAAAATAAAATTGAGGTCATGAGTTCAAGCATTGTTACTAACATTCTTTCTAATAAATCGTGTGTTGATCTCCTCCTTCAAAGTTCTCCGAGGATTGAACTTTCAACCATAAATCTTAAATAATAGCCATACATCATGTTTGCACTAAGGACCACACAACTTGTGGTTAGTTGTAGACTTTAGCACTTGGTACATTGGTAATATATATCTAAATTAAGCTAAGATTGCCAATAAAAACATGTTAATTGATGATTAGCTCAAACAAAATGGAAGAAATCTTAAGCAATCAGATTATGACAATAAAGCATAGCATAGAAGGAGCACCAAATGAAGATGATTTTGAGGTTTTAACTACAAATATTAGCACATCATTAATTAAACCAGGCTCCAACAGTGTCCTTGTTAAATGTCTTCAACTTTCAATGGATCCTTACCAACTTAATCGCATGAAGAGTTTTAGTACTTCTCAAAATTCAGTAGCTGTGGCTTTCAAATTGGTTCCTGGCAAGGTAATGTCTTTTTAACCCCTCGAAAGCTAGCATACGATCGACTTATATAGTTTACATTTTTACGGCTATTTAACTATTACTAGTATAAATGATGGTAATGAGGATAAATTTGTTCAAGTGAATATCTATTTTCAGTGTAAATAATACTTGAGGTAGTATGCACATGCTATTCTCAATGAATATCTTTTTTTTTTTTTTTTTTTTTTTTTTAAGTATTTAATCTTTGTTTATAGATAAAAACAAATTTAAGTTTAGGCTATTCTTTTGCTCTAAACCTTTAGATATTTGCATTTTGCATACAATTCAATTATACACAGAGTATTTTGTTACTTTTATTTGAAAGTGGAATGAATGTTTTAATTAAATTTGTAATGTTTTGGTAACAACAGTTAATTGATGGATATGGAGTTGGAAAAGTTGTGGCTTCAGGGCATCCTAACTTCCAAAAGGATGACTTAATTACTGGACTATTGAATTGGGCACTATATGTCGTGGTGGAGGATCTCAATTTGTTGCAAAAATTATTAGATCCTACGGAATTTCCCTTATCGTATCACCTTGGAATACTTAGTACGTACTCTCTTTGTTCCTTTTCATATTTTACATGCTAGCTAAATTTTATGATATCACGCCTACTATGTGTAATATTCAGTAAAATGTTTGCAATGTACTTTAAAGTTGATATCGGTAATTATAAAATATTACTCGGTGTAGATGGATGATGAGAAACTTAACTTTTGAATTTGAGATAATAAATTTGAGCTCCACCGTCTACAAATGGTTGGAAGTAGGAGATTTCCTCTGATTTTGATGAAAGTAATACGCATATATATATATATATATATATATTATAATGTGTTTGTAGGAGTTAGCGGACTCACAGCATATGCTGGGCTATTTAAAGTAGGCAAACCAAAGAAGGGAGAGAGGATATTTGTATCAACTGCTTCAGGATCTATTGGAAGTTTAGTAGGACAATACGCTAAATTATTTGGTTGCTATGTTGTTGGCTGCGCAGGTTCCACTGAAAAGGTTAGCTAGTGATTTATTTTTTTACATACTTAGCTTTTGATTTATCAGGAACTATTCTCTTTAGCTTAATTTTAATTCAATTTAGTTTCTAATTTTCTTCTCTCATAGACAATTCAGTTCACTTCAATAAATCAGAACATGTCCTTAGTTTGTTCAAAATTTGATTCTTATTATTATCTTCATTTTTTTTTATTACTAATTATATCTACTACCATTGTTTTATTATTCAGGTTGCTATTTTACAGGAAAAACTTGGCTTTGATGGTGCATTCAATTATAAAGAAGAGAGTGACTTGAAATTGGCTCTTCAAAGGTCATACTCGTATCTAATCCTTAATTGTAACAAACTAACAACATCCTTTTTTTCACCTAGTGTAACACGTAGAATAAAAAAAATGAGCACGTGCATGCTTAGCAATATTTAAGAGATATTTTGTGGTTTGGTCGTATCACATACGTAGTATTATTATGTGGTGATATGGATCTTAGATGATTATTATAACGATAATTTAAACGTGAACATAACAAATAACACACCATCTAATTAATATTGAATTGGGTGTATAAACCAAATGTAGGTACTTCCAAGAAGGAATTGACATATATTTTGACAATGTGGGTGGTGAGATGCTAGAAGCTGCTGTTGCAAACATGAACCCCTTTGGTAGAGTGGTTGCATGTGGTGTTATGTCTCAGTACACCGATCCTACTAAGAGAAAAGGCGGTCCCGACATGATCGACATCATTTATAAGCGGATCACCATTCAAGGATATCTTGGTAACGATTACAGTGATGAGCATAATTTCGCAGAATTTGTATCCACAACATCAAGCTACCTCAAAGCAGGTCAAATGCAGGTGCTTGAAGATATACATGTTGGTATAGAGAACATCCCTTCTGCTTTTGTAGGTCTCTTTCGTGGCCGTAACATTGGCAAGACTATTGTTAAAATCGCGGATGATTAACTTATTCGAGTTTTGTTTACTCCATCCTTTCCCAGTTGATTCTAAGGGTTTACTCTTATTTGGGAGTTGGTAATGAGAATAGTATTAAGTTTTGTACTCTTCACTTGAAATAGAGTGTTTTCTCAATGAATGTACATGTATATAAAAGAAAAAACATTATCAAGTGAGTGGTTGTTAGATTCACCTCAATGTATAAGACCTGTTTTTATATATTCAGCTTAATTTCAATTTAGTTCAGTTCCTAATTTCCTTCTTTTATAAATATTTCAGCACAATTTAGTTTAGTTCAGTTCATCTCAGTAAATCAAAATAGGCCCTTGATATGAGGTGAATAACAGGAACAAGTTGAAGAGATTCAAGTCCAGCAAATTAAAATTACTACTAGCTTGTAATTCATATTATCCTTTCTAACACTCCATTTCTTGAGTATATATCTTTCTTTTATCATTGGTAAGATTATCTTTTCATCTCCCTTTTTTCATATTCCTAACTCTATACACTTTCATCCTAACTATCCCCCTCTAATCCATATCCCATTAAACTAACGTAAGACTTATTACATCTTCATTTCTTTATCCCTATTCCTTTCCCCTTTCCCCTAAACAAACACCTCTATCCTATGATCTAAAGATGGTTGATTTTATTCATGGTTTAATCCAATCATCCAATTACTTTATTGGCCTATGTCATAGTGGCAACGGTGCACCTACAATCTTACATGCTTCTTCTAAGAGTTCTAAAATTTCTAACTATGTATAAATATAACAGTGTAACACATACACCATTTAAATTACAGTCGATAACTATGTTTAATTACACTCGATAACTATTTTTAATTACACTTGGGTACATAATTGAATTTGTACCATCCGGAGTCCCAAAACAATGATCCTCTTCGCAATTTTGATTATATACCCCACCACTTTACCATTGCCGAATAATAAAGTAACTCGAGTGAGTCCTCTCCTTACTTTTTGTACAACCCTACTTATATATTCCCATACAAAGTCTTGCACAAAGTCCACCTTTTTCAAGCCTTTTCTCTCTTTCTCCAATTAAAAATGAATTGACTCTAAAATTCAGCACATCATCACCAACAGTAGTAGTAAAGAACATCTTGATTTTTTTTCCCCATCATTTTTATGATTTATAATCACACCTTTCAACCACCATATTTTATCGCACCACCACTCACCCACTTCACCAAATTAAATTCCTCATACTTTTCACCTGAATCAACAAATTAATACCCAACAACAACTACAAACTTCCCAAAATTTTAATTAATTTTTTGTTCCCCAAATTCCAATGTAATTTGCAGAATTAGCAACAAAATCAACATGGATTTGAGCAACAAATTAACACAAATCCAAAAAAGGAAGAAATGGTTCTTTCTATTATTACTTCCTTTCTTAATCCTACTCTCTATTTTCACTTCATTTAACTCAAAAACCCCATTTTACAAAACCCATCAATTCCATCAAAAAAAACCCTCAAACCCCAGAATTTGTTGAATCAAAGTTGAAAATTTCACCAATTTCCAAAAACCCAATTCCAAAAATTGCTTATTTGATCTCTGGTTCAAGGGGTGATGGTGAAAGTTTGAAAAGAACATTAAAAGCTCTGTATCATCCCTTAAATCAGTATGCTGTTCATCTTGATTTAGAAGCTCCACCTGATGAAAGATTGGATTTAATGGATTTTGTAGAGAGAGAAAGTGTTTTTAGAGATATGGGAAATGTTAGAGTTGTGGCAAAGAGTAATTTGGTTACTTATAGGGGCCCCACTATGGTAAGCAATACACTTCATGCTATGGCTATTTTGTTGAAGGAAGGTGGTACTTGGGATTGGTTCATCAATTTGAGTGCTTCTGATTATCCTCTAGTAACTCAGGATGGTAAGTTGTCACTTTTAAGTAAATTATTAAAAACAGTTGAAATTTCTTGGGAATTTCATGTTGTTGGAATTTGTTGTTTTCTTGGTTTGTTTGTTGGTATTGATTATAGTTTTTGTCATGTTTGTAATCATGTATTGGTAGGTTTGTCTTATTATTCTTGTCAAGAATAATTCAGGTTGTGTTTTCTTTCCTACTTGAAAATAAAGTAATAGACTGATTAGTCTATGGAATTGGTAATTATTATGTAATTAGTTTGTGGAGTACATGAACAAATGCTAAATTTGAGGTTTAATGACAATTTTAATTGCTTGAGCTTGATTCTACATTGCATTTATATATTCTCTATAGTTGTAAAAGTTGCCATTTCAATGCTAGAATCTGGTAACTTGGCTGATTTACAATTGAAGTAAAGCACTTATCTTTAGCTCTTTTTTTGGGTGGGCATATAATGGCATATATTCTCTTTTAGTGTATCTATCTTTGGTGTCCTGAGGTATAGAAAATTAATGTAAGCTTTTGGTGATCACTTTTAGCATTTTTTTTTATACTAATGGTAGTGATATTATTCTTAATGGCTATAGTTTAATGTTAGTTTAAGATTAGTGAAGCTGTCTGTCAGGGAATGTATGGCCTCACGTGGATAGGCATCATATCTTCTCATGTTATAGAATTAGTAAAATGTTGGATTAGAATGAATAATTGATTTGTTGTGTAGCCAGAAAAACAAGGTAAAATACAAGATGATCCATGGATAGATTTGTCTACATGAGGCGACAAGTTTCCGTTGAAGATAGGTGTATTGCACTCGTAGCAAGTTACTATTGTTTAGCTAGAAACTGAAAAGTTATAATATTTGGACTCTGGATTTTTTGTTCAAAATGTTCATTTTAGGAAGGATTCATTTTGTTACATGCTAGCAGGAGTGGTACCTAGACTTTTCAATCTCAGCATGATAATATATACAGAAATGTCTAGGAATAACCGTCTCCAACCTAATTGTATGAAGGCATAATCTGTCAAAGTGTGCCAATTTGTCGCATTCTTAATCAAGTATTGTAGTCGCTGTTTAGATTTGGTAATGTTTGAGTTTGACGGTGCATGCTCTACTTTACGACTTCCTGCTTGTTACCTACTCATATTATTCTAAATGGATATTGGCCATCTTCAGTTTCTTTACAGTTAATTTTTCCTACTTTCTTTCTAATTTTGTGCAACAGATTTGCTACATGTATTATCAACCATACCAAGAGAACTTAATTTTATTGAGCATACTAGTGACATTGGGTGGAAAGAGTATGTGGCTCATCTTTTCTTCTAGGTGTTTTTAATCCAACAGTTCTTGAACCTGAGTGAACATTCTCTTATCTATCAACAGATACCAGAGAGCAAGACCTGTTATAATCGACCCTGGGCTATACAGCACTCAAAAATCTGATGTCTATTGGGTCCCTGAAAAAAGAGGCATTCCTACAGCATTTAAATTATACACAGGTATACTTTGGTTGGAAAACCCAAAAGTAACGATTTATACTCAAAGAGTTCAAACTTAAAAGTCTAGGATAATATGATGTTTAAGAGAACTAGATTGGATCTGCTCTTGTATTTTGACATATATCATTTCACTTTCAGGTTCTGCTTGGATGATGCTTTCTCGGCCTTTTGTTGAGTATTGCCTATGGGGATGGGACAACCTCCCGAGGACAGTTTTAATGTATTATGCCAACTTTCTTTCCTCACCTGAGGGGTATTTTCACACCGTCATCTGTAATGTTGAGGACTTTAAGAACACGACAGTGAACCACGACCTTCACTTCATATCATGGGATAACCCTCCTAAGCAACATCCACATTTTCTGACAGTTGATGACTATGAGAAAATGGTGGAAAGCAATGCCCCCTTTGCCAGGAAATTCGGTAGGAAAGAAGCTGTGATGAATAAGATTGACACTGAGCTTTTGGGAAGTGATGACAATGGGTTTGTGCCCGGAAAATGGTTGGTCAGAGAAAATGAAAACAGTACAGATGGTTCTCTGTCTTTCTCAGTGGTAAATGGCACGATTGAACTTAGGCCAGGTCCTGGTGCTGATAGGCTCAAACGCCTCATTAAAAAACTATTATCGAAGGAAAATTTTTATCCAAGGCAATGCACCTCAATTCCATTATGATTTTCAGTCTCTGAATCTCCCACTTCACACAGTTTTTTCTTGGTTCAAATGAATACTGAGCACCAACAGAAAATAAGAACTGATAGATATATATTTATACTGGCTAGTTTACTGTCCCTGCTTCATCTTTCAGGTCAGTTTACTTTTTGAGATGTGAAATTAGTTGCAACATATAGATGGATTACATGGATATTGGTTTTTGTATATTCGATCAATGGTATAGTCTTTCTCCAAATCTCTGTTTCATTCATATGATATGAAGTATGCTTCAACTCCCCAGTAGTACGACCCATGCTCCAATTACCTATCTACTGAATATGAAGGTTTAGCCTAGCAAGGTGCACGGTTATAGTGGTTCACATACTCCTTTGCACGCCTAGGCCATATTCTTCAATATACTTGATTCGTGTACATTGTTTCATCACTCATTTACCAAATCAACCCTCGTCTACCAAGCCTACAGCTTGAAATAATGGCGCGAGTAAAATACATTGGTTAGTTTGCTTTCCCTACTTGTATTTTTCATTAGCTATTGGATGATAAAATTTAATGTGAGATTGAAGGATGTATTTGCTTCATACATATGGTATGCTGTACTCAAATACTACTAATATTTGGAATTAACTTTAGTACCTCTGATTCTCGAAATTATTGGGAAGGATCTTTAAGCGCTTGGATGAAGGCAGTAGGATTTGAATGTTGATACAAAATCTTGGTAAATGTTTTGGACTCTTGGTATTTTGATGTAGATTATTAAATTTTTTTGAGATGATTTAACTCATTTAAGAGGAAAATAAGGCAAATAATGTTTAAACTTTGGCATTGTAATTCGTTGGGCTTGGGCTTGGGCTTGGGCCATAGTCCACAAATACCACAAAGCACAGATTAAGCTAGGTCCGTGTTTTAATTGTTTTCCATGGAGCCCAAGTTTATCTATCCCATCTCTTCAATCGAATTGAACTTGTGTTTATGAGTTTATCTTCTAATTAAGATTGTATTTTATTCGAGTAATTTTTACTTATCATAATTTGTTTGAACTTATCATTTATAGAATTAATTAATCATAACTTATTTAAACTTATTATTGTTGTAAGTTAAATTGACCTTTTAGTATTTTAATTTAAAGGCCATATATTAGCAAGACAAGTCAAGTTTCGTCAAAGTAGAAATATCATTTGTGCCTAAGAGGAAGTCCTAATATATCATAGTTAGACACAATAAAAAACATAACAATGACAATTTTTGTAAATAATGACATTTTGAAAGTATTGTTATGAGGTAATATAGTACGTAGTATTGTAGTAACTAGTAACTGAACATTTTTAGTATTACTGTACATCTTAGTAGTATTTTAAAATATTATCTCAGTAGTACTATTAGAACTTTCAGTAGTATAAAACACTGTATGCAATTTTGTTTCTAACGATGATGTATTAGGACTTCTTCTCTAAGAGAAATCCGCGAAATACTGAAAACATTAAACATTAAGCTATCTATTTCTCCTATCAAATGAATCGGAAATCTTTAGAATTTGTTTACCATAAACAATATCTTGAAATAAGGGGAATCAAATTGTTTCACTTGTTTATAGCTTTATACTACTAAAATCTCTCGTGAGTCAGGTTAGCGGGCTAAACTCTTTGGAAGGAAGGGAGGGAAGGAAATCCCTACTCTAATGTGTCTCCAATGAGGTTTTATTCGTTGTGAGATGACAAACCTAATCATTAAATTAAGTTTTGCTTGATTTTTAATACTACTCGTACTAAATTACCCTTTACTCCCTACTATGAATAGTGTGTACAACATAATTGGTAAAATTCAATTATATATAATCGCATAATAATACCATAAAAATGTATTGTCTTGAGTAATTTTAAATAACTCTCCATATACGTGACTACTATTTTTGAATGAGAAAGTGGATGATTAACAAATCTAAGAAAGTAAATAACCTTCTTTGAAAATATAAAATACTTTTAAGTGTTATTAAAAGTTCTTGGCTAGAACTAAAAAGTGAAGAGAATGAGATCCAGTCCAAAAGAATAGAAAAATAGGTGAATTATAAAGCAAATAAATATTGGTAGTTAGCTTACAATATTCTCAAAGTAGACCAAATGACTTTGAAATTTCTTCACCGACAGAGTCGGCAAGATTATTGGAATTTTATTTCATTAATTTATTTTCCATGTTAATTTTGTTTTCTATAATTTCACGTCAAACTTGTATAGTTAAATCCAATAATACGAATGAGAGTGAGGGATAGCTCAAGTGGTTAGAGCTCTCCTTCCTCTTCCAAGAGATCTTGGGATCGATTCTCATCACCCGTTCTTGTGGCTTTCTTAAGTACCCAAAAAAAAAAATCGAATAGTACGAATACATCATTATGTTCATGGCAAAATCAAGAACCAAAAAAATCTAAGGACCATAAATTAATCATTTTTCCTGATTTCCTTTTAATTCCTTTATGACAAGTGTCTTCATATGACACGTGTGCACAGCAAATCGCAAAATGGCGTTTGACCCACCATTTATTTCGTAGGACGTATGTATTGCTTTATACTTTATACTTTTGTACAGTACTACGTAGGAAAGCTGGAGTTTTTTTTTTTTTTTTTTTTTTTTTTTTTTTTTTTTTTATAAATATTCTAGTATGATACGATTTGTTTAAGATAAATAAAAGCCCTTTAATTAGCATTTATAAGCTTGAGTCATTCATGGCTTTAATAATGCCATTTTGATACTAAGTCACGCATAATTGGTACCATCCTACTATCAAAACACTTCTTCATTAATATGGAGTACTCGCACTGCTTTTTTTTTATTTTAATTTTTATTTATTTTTTACGTATTTTTTTGGAATAGTACTCGTAATATGGAGTACTAAATACCACTGACAACAAATGCAAACTTAGGCTTCGTTTGACATCATTGTGGTTTTTTTTTTTTTTGGTTTATGTTTTTTAAAATCATATGATATGTGTCATATAATGAATTAAAAATTAAACAAACTTGTTAAAATCATGATAATTTTGAAAACTGACAGCAGAATAGTGGAAACACCTTTTTTTTTTTTCCTTGTTTTTGGTTAAAAAAAACATAAAACTAAAAACAAAAAACGATGCCAAACACGCCCTAAGTAATTTAAGTTTTGTTGGTAATTTGGTATTGAGACTTCTTTGTTACTTTGCTGTATCAACTAAGGGCTTGTTCTCATTGACTGAATTCAGATGAACTGAACTGGGAGCTGAACTGAACTGAATTGACCTGAACTAAACTGAACTGAAATGAATATTTTATAAGAGAAGGAAATTAGGAGCTGAGCTGAACTGAACTGAGCTGAGCTAAACTGAACCGAACTGAACTTAACTGAATTTTAACGTAAGAGAACAGACCCTAACTAATAGTATGACCATCTTGGCTCTTATTCATGGAGCTATGTTTATCAATTTCCTTTAAAAATAATTTACTATGATAATCGTTTTTTCTATAGCACCAACTTCAATTTTTTACAACTTACCCATAATTTTACCACATAAACGTCATTATTGTTGGGCACTTGGGGAGGGACATGGACATAATCTCCATTTGGTTCTCAAAGTTGCAACTTTGAGTGTCCCATAAAGAATTAAAGCTACAATCAAGAAGCTCCATTACATCTTTCCTTTGTTCAATAAAAATTTCTAACCCCTATGAAATTTATTTCTCTAATTAAACGCAGCCCATTTCTCACGTTACCCACCCTTTTTCAGTCAACCATCCCCAAAATAAATTACGGAGTAAAAAAATAAATTTGTTAATTACCCACCATTATTTTTATTTTTATTTCTACAAAAAATTCCAAATCTCAATGTCAAATTATAACAAAAAAAGACAAAAATACAATTAAAAAATTCAATTAAAAGAAAGCTGAGTTTAGAATTTTTACTTTTTTTTACTTTTTTTTTATTTTTATTTTTATTTTTATTTTTATTTTGTATCAACTCAAAAAGGCCCAAAAAAGCCCAATAAACTCTCTCCCCCATTGTAACGCTCTCCTCCGTTTTCTCTCTCCTCCCTCTACTTCATCCCTCAGATTTCATCCTCACACATCACATTCTCTTCTCTTCAGATCCCCAAATTATAATCTGGGTGTTCCTCAAAATCATCTCTTTTTCCCAAAAATTAAATATTTTTCACCCAGAAAATCCAGAAAAAAACAGGGGAATTTTAATCAAACCCAGAAAAGATACCAATCATGTCTAGTGGAAACGGATCTTTGAGTGATGGTGTGATTAAGAAGATAGTATTATCTTACACCTATGTAGCAATATGGATCTTCTTGAGTTTCACTGTAATTGTTTACAACAAATACATCTTAGATCGAAAGATGTATAATTGGCCATTCCCAATTTCTCTCACCATGATTCACATGACATTTTGTTCATCTCTTGCTTTTATTCTTGTCAAAGTGTTGAAATTAGTTGAGCCTGTTTCGATGTCTCGAGAGGTTTACCTCTCTTCTGTTGTTCCAATTGGTGCTTTATATGCATTTTCATTGTGGCTTTCTAATTCGGCTTACATCTATTTGAGTGTTTCATTCATTCAAATGTTGAAGGCTTTGATGCCTGTTGCTGTATATTCAATTGGAGTTATGTTTAAGAAGGAGAGCTTTCGAGGCGAAACGATGGCAAATATGATGTCGATTTCATTTGGGGTTGCGATTGCTGCTTATGGTGAGGCCAAATTTGATGCTTGGGGTGTAACCCTACAATTGGGGGCAGTTGCATTTGAAGCTACTAGATTGGTAATGATTCAGATCTTGTTAACTTCAAAGGGTATTAGTTTTAATCCGATTACATCGCTTTATTATGTTGCTCCTTGTTGTTTGGTGTTTCTATCAATTCCTTGGATGATTGTTGAGTACCCAATTCTAAGGGATTCGTCGAGTTTTCATCTAGATTGGTTTATATTTGGGACGAATTCTGTTTGTGCTTTTGCTTTGAATCTTGCTGTGTTCTTGCTTGTTGGGAAGACATCTGCTTTGACTATGAATGTTGCTGGGGTTGTTAAAGATTGGTTGTTGATTGCGTTTTCGTGGTCTGTGATTAAGGATACTGTTACCCCTATCAATTTGTTTGGGTATGGGTTGGCATTTTTGGGTGTTGGGTACTACAATCACTCTAAGTTGCAGGCATTGAAGGCGAAAGACGCGCAGAAGAAGACGGTTCAGGCTGATGATGAGCAGGGTAGGTTGCTTGAGGAGAGGGATGGTGATGGACTTGGTAGGAGGAATGACAATCAATCTGATTGATTCATTCGTCGAATCCAATCCAATCCAATCCTTGGTTATGCAATGCAATGCTCGTTTCATTTATGATGATGATAATGATTCTTATGATTTGAGGAGTTTGAGCTTCAAGGGTTTAGTGTGAGGATTCAATGAGGAGGGTTTTAGGTAGTAGTATAATCCGGATAATGCGAGTTCTTGATTGGAATCGCGTATTTAGTCTTAGTTTATGAATATTGTTATTGGTTAGTAGTCATTCTATGTGGTGTTAGCTCTTACTAGGTTTACTTATTATCTTTACATTTTTATGGAATGGTAATGTAGGAGGCTCGAGGCTCAGTTTCGAGGTTGCTC